ACACACTTGGCTGGAAGAATGTCATTTGAGTTTAGAAGGTCTTTGGACATGGAAGCAAACAACAGAAACTGAGTTCTTGGACTCACTTTCTTGGACAAGGTGCATGGGCATGGGCTAGACCGTGAGCCTCCGAAGCATCTCAGAAGATCGCGTCTTGTTCCTCCCTGTCTCTGCCTGGCACAATATCATTTGTCAGATGAATGAATGAATGACTCAAAGGAAGGGAGGGACAGAGGGAGGACTTGGAGATTTTCCAGAAGTGAGATCGTTCCCAGGAAAACATACAAAGAGTTCAGCTGGGGATAACTTCAAGAAGACAGTGGCAGAAAACAGCTGAAACAGAAAATTATATAACTAATGTGTGTGTGTATATATATATCAACTACTATATAAAAATTATGTTATATATAACATATTAATGTATCAGATTATATATATTATATAAATTATATGTATTACATATATTATATATATATATATATATATATAAAGTATTTGTTCACAGAGGATATTTCTACCCTGAGCATTCAACCCAAAGTGTGTGAGCATGTTTGACTATGGAGTTTGTGACAGTTCGATTAGAAACTGGCACTTATGCCTGTACAAACTATTAGTATGCCTGGTTCATTCAGTCTATTCATGTGGAATGTTCTTCAAACTAATGGAATCTGCAAAGTTTGGGGAAAACTGTGAGTGCTTATATGAAAACTGTATTTTCTACTGATGCTTTGAGCTTCAGTTGAAAGGAGTAAATGCAGCCTTCTATTTGCAGGGTCTGCTTTCCAGCTTTTCCTCAGACATTAAAATGACTTGCAATTGCCACTCATAAGCTGAAAATCCTGGAAGCATAACAATGATTCATACGTAGTGGTCAATGACTCATGTGCTTACCGCCATTGTTTAGACACTAATACGAGACCTTCCTTAAGATATGCTGGGATGGAAGCGAAGATAGCACATTGCTAAACAACAATAGCATTTTGGAGGAATTGTTGGGAAGAAGCTGGAAGCAAAGTGATTTTTAGGTATATAGGATTCCAGCAGAAATCCAATATTTAAAAATGCCTGCAGTTGCAACAGAATGGAAGTCATGATATGAAAGCCAGAGAGCTCTGCACTGTCTCTGCTGTTGATATAATTGAGTGGTGATGTCTGCTGTTCCAAAACACGTCCGGAATTCTGACTTCCAGAAACATTGTTTCACCCACTTTACTGCAACGGTCTGTCACTCATGCCACTTGTAGCATTATGGGACGCTTCCACCTTCTTCTGAAGCTTCAGCTGCTGGCTGTGGCTTCAGGGAGAATGATGGCTGTCTTCCTGTCACAGGGACAAGCCCTGTGAACCTCTTGCCTGTATTTCTGGTAACACTCTCTCCTTAGTTTAATGTTACTGATCACAACAGCATAAAAGTCAAAATAAAAATGGAATCACCACCATAATTCTTCCCTAATGCTCATGCCAGCTCCCCAGAAATGAAGGATGAACAATATGGTATATAATAGTGCTGGTTTGAATTGATCATGGATGCCTTCTGTGAATGGAAGCAATGTCAGAGCATCATCATGGTAACGTGACAGCCTGGGAGTGGAGGTGGGGAGAATCCAGCCTCTGTGTTTCGTTTACTCACACATGTATCTCTGTGTATATATCCTTCAAGATTGCAAATGCATGATATTTTGTGTGATTTTTCCAGTGTTTAAAATCATGTCAGAGCTGGCAGTTGATGCATTATTAACATGCCACATGGGATACTTGCATCCCATATTGGAGCACCTGGATTGAAGACCTGGCTCTGCCCTTCACTCCAGCTTCCTGCTAATGTGCTCCTTGGGAAGCAGCTTGGGTCCCTGCCACTCACATGGGACTCATAGATTAAGCTCCTGGCACCTGGTACAGTCCCAACTGTTGTAGACATCTGAGACATGACTGGGCAGGTGGGAGATTCTGACTCTCTGACCTTCAAAGAACTAAAAAATATAAATATGTCAATTGTCATATATTAAAATAAAAGTATTGGGCATAAAATTAGAGGTCTAGTGTAACAGGATGAACTGCAACCAACACATTCTCATGGGACAAGTGGCTAGAAATGAGAAGTAGCAGCCTTCTTGAAAATACTGTCATTTACCACACCCTCAGTGTTGTGTGTTGTGTTACATCTGGCCATCTGCACTCATTTGCATTACCTGCTGATCCCCAGAGATATCTGAGTTTACAACTCCAATAACTGAAACAAGATTTGAAGGCTAAAAATGATCTAGGTAGCTTGATTATATAATTTTTGTTCAAAATAGGACACTATGAGTAAAAAGGATCCACCTAAAATTATATAAAGACTATAGGCATAAACCAGAACTGTCTCAGACAAGGAAAGATGTATCATATTTTTCTATTCTATTCTATTCTATTCTATTCTATTCTATTCTATTCTATTCTATTCTATTCTATTCTATCATAACTCTATTTATAGACTCTTTCATTTTATGATAAGAAAATTGAAAGCCAGAAATAGGAAGACATTTGCCCAAAGCAGCCACTAAGTGAGTTAATGACAAAGCTGCCCCAAGTACCCTGGATCCTAGTCCACTGATTTTTCTGTAAAGTGTGTTCTGTGCAATAGGTCTGAGCAGCATATTGTCCGTGAATTTATAGGCTCTTTTTTTAAATTTTTAGCTCAGAATTACCACATAGCTAATTTCTTGTGAGAGCCTACATAATGGTAGTGTATATTATCAATATCATTTCTATTCTGACTCTAATTAAAGGTTTGGACCATAGCACATTCAGAGACTTTTAAAATATTGGTGGGTTTGAAAACTAGGGAGTAAACATATGCAGAGCTTCTCAATTTTCTAGGTATAACAAGCGATATTTTTAGCAGTGCTAATTGTCCAGATTATGGAAAGAAACCTATAATGTGTGCATACAACCAAATTCCATTAAGTAAATATCTGGTAACCAGCGTGCTGAAAATATTATATATTAATTTTTTGTCTTTGGCTGTTGATGGGTCTTTACAATACATCCAATAGCTCAAATACTCAAATCTTGAGCCCAGCTGCCTGCGGCCTTATTTTGCTCTATTGCTAAGAAATATTTGTACTAAGACTTCTCCACAGGAGATCAATGCAGGTTGCTAATCGCTTTCTCAGACTTTGGCCCCCCAAATCCCTGTCTGGTTTCCTACTCTAGGAAATGGTATGAGCCATAGGGACACCTATTAACCTTTTGTGAAGGCTGAGGCCATAGACTAGCCTGCGAGGTCTCCTTCAGGATACCTTCTCCCATTGTCCCACTTGTTTCTTATTTGATCTTCCAAGGTCCCTGCAAATAGCAGAGCTTCATCTGCATAAGCAAGGAAGCTGTTTCTGGCAATGCCACCAGCAGTGCTGGCCTAAGTCACCCACTTCACATTTCCCTTCCCATGGAGTATACTGCAGTCCCAGTTACCTTTCCATATGTAAGACCAGTATCTACACAGGAGATATGGCCAGAACACACATTGCCACACTGGCCTCACAGAGTTGAAGAGATCCAAGAAAATGGAAAATGTGCACAGATCTCTTCTATTCCTGTTCCCAGCATCCCTCCACCAGTGTCCTGGAGAGGTCTCCTTTTTCTTCATCATTCTTCAAAGCGTCTTTTGGGAAGATGCCTTGATGAATGATGGGAACCAGTGATTAACCATGACCTTTAGGCTGAAGATATGAAGCACACACATTGGTAACCTTGTTTCCCATGTATCTCAATAAACTTCAACAGGAAAAAGATGTTTTCTAAATAAACCAGATCAATTTTGAGGAAAAGGATCCCTTGAGCTGGGCTAGGACAGTCCAATAGCAACTTAGATGCCCTTTCCTAAGATTTTGGTGATACTGATATGTTGTTAAAAGGTTGTAGATGACTCTCATCTGTTTCTTTTTTTTTTTTTTCAAGTTGTAAAATGAATTACTAGAAAAGCTAAAATCCATGCTTGTGGCCTTTTGCTCTTTTCTGGACACAGTGCTGTTGAGATGCATGTCATGCAACCAGAGGAGGATTCAGTCATGTGCTTAGGGACCCTGGTGACCTGTCTCCATCTTGGGAATTTGTCAACTTTTTCCTGGCACAACTAGTTAGCTTATTAGTAAAGTTTTGGCATGGTAGACATATCTGTCACATGGGCAGAAGTTTGTAACAGTATCTTCTTGCCAGAACAGGGTGGAAGCATTTCAGCACATCCTCCTATAAATAAGACTAGTTTTAAATAAACTACTAATCTCCTCCTTCATATTCCAGAAGCTTGTATCCTGCGCAGTTTCTTGCTTCCCAGAGTTTCCTGAGGGCACCTGTTCTGACACCAGTCTTGAAGCTTCTATGCCATATCGTACAGAAGGCACTTGGGTCCACAGAGTACCAGCTGTGGGTGCCATATGGTAAAGCCATACCATGTGCACAGAGCATTTCTGAAGCCAGAAGGAGTATGGAAGAATGTGTTTCTAATCCAGCTTTATCTTTTCCTTGCCTTTGAAAATTTTAATCATTGAAATCTCTTTCGAGGCCATAAATAGAACCATATAGTGAGGTTTTTAAAAAATTGTTGAGTTAAAACCAAATATGTACTTTTGTTTTTATATGGACATGGGACTGTGTATGGGTATATGAAAATGTAGATTGAACATATGGATACAGATGGGTTTGGCTCTCTAGTGAAATAGATGGAGAAGGATGTAGAAATGATTGGAAATGGTGTGTGTCAGGCTGCTCGAGCAGTTTGTCACTCCGAAGCAGAGATGTCCTCCTCCAAACAGTTGGAGAGAAAGTTCTGCTTCTGCTTCACTTAGAGAGATGCCAAACAGCTCATTCTCATGACTGAGTCCACCTTGATGTGCCTCTCACACCACAGAGCATGGACAAGTGCCCCACATACAGATGGTACCAATTGGAGCTGGGCTTCAGGCTGTGTTTTCCTTTGAAGTAACCTCTTAACCTTCTTCTTTTCTTTCCACCTCTTCTAGGCAGGACAGGGCTGCTTGCTGCTCTCTTGCCCAGTTTTGCTGTGGAGATTATGCCAGGTACTCAGTCATTTAACTCTTTATGTGCTAACATTCATCTGCCTTGCTTCTGCAGTAGTCACTAATTGCTCGTTGGATTTATTTGCACATCTCTGTGTGTGATCTTCTCCAGGATGACTAAGCCCACTGGAAGAGCCTTTAAATGGTAATGCCTTCTGTTACTGGACCTGAAAGAGTAATGATTACTGAAAAGAGTAATTACTGAAAGAGTAATGATAATTAACCTAAGCTGAGATGAAGGGGACCTGGTCCTTCACTGTCAAGCACGCATGCTCTTTGCCGGTCTCCGTGTCCATCTCAGTATTTCAGCTGTATGCAGATAACCACAGTATTCTTAAACGTGTTATTATTTACTAGCATTCCTTATTACCCCTAAATTATGTGTTTATGCACTCATTATTATACTCTCATGTTACTCTGTATGTTTTATAACATTATCAAACTTAAAAAAAAAGCTTAGGAAAATTATGCATCCCTCCTCTGATTCATATTACTTTGCATACAATTGCAGTAGCTTAATTGGCAACCCGAAGTTCCTAGAAGTTCATGATCACATGTCAAGGACACCTGCACCAAATTCACATCTCCCTCTTTTCAAATAGCTTTAGAGGAGCACAGTAGCCTGCATCAGTTTGGTGCAGTACCGCTGTCCATACCTGAAGAAGGCTCAGGCAGAAGCAAGCATGGACCATGGGGGAGGACATATCCACATTCAAGGAGTAGGGAGGGGTGTGACACCATTTCGCCTTGAGGGCTTCTGCTAGAATCTTAAGAGTTAATAGCAGCAGAGAGATGTGGAATATCCCTGGTCATTGGTTTTGACTTGATTCAGGTTGTAAGAAAGATCCACTCTTCACAGTTCAGCTTCACTATTCTTCCATGAATTCCTCTAGTCTTTCCCCAAAGGTATTGTTGTTACTAATGTTACTCCCAAGGACACAAACAGCTATTTCTCTGTGATCCACCTTATTCAGAGTTCTCTCAATAAAGAAACATCCCTTCATCACAACGATAATGCTACACTGTAATACTTCAAACAAGATGTTCTACCTCCATGATGCAAGGAAAAGTGACTATATTTTTTGTCTTGCCCTAGATGCCCTTCCCTTTTGACTCCAAGAATTCTCTCACAGATAATCTTTTGTTTTTCTCAAATATAACAAGAGACTCTTATCTGTGACTGCCTGTCCCAAATTGTAGCCACCACTCCACACAGCTCATGTAAATGTCAGGAACCACATTATGTTATTATGTTACTGCGAAGGTCAAGGCTTTCTGCTATCCATTGTCCTCAGAGTGCATACTTACCCATCTGCTCCAGCAGGGTACAAGGCCTTCCCACTCCTCCTTCCCTGCAGAGGCTGGCCTGGCTACTTTGAATGTATCTCAGAAGGATAAGCGAGGAGAAACATTCAGCAAGAATATGATGTCTGTTTTCCTCTTCTCCTTCTTGTTTGTTTTCGGAACACAGGTTGAATACTTTTACCATCATCACAAAGCTTTTTATATACAAACTATCTTATTCTCAAACTCTCAATTGGATGTTCATTTAATTGAAGGGAAATTTAACAGCCCATATTTACAAAAAAACAATCTGCACTTGAGTTTCATTGTAAAGGGATGTTTGTTGCATGGCCTTCAACCAAAATGAATCACTCTATTATCTTGGCTTTGAAAGGAAAGCAGGGCTCACTCCAGTCTGTCCACGCCTCTGGGGGAACCTGGGTCTGTTAGCCAACTCTCAATAGCAAGATATTGAGATGAATCACATGAGGGTCAGTCATTTTTACCTAAAACAAATAGAATATGTTTCCTTTCACTTAATCCTTTGGATGGGCAAATGAAATAGAATTCATGTTCAGCCTCTGGCAGAGCTGTGAAAATAGCAGCCAGCAGTGAACAAATATACCCATCAATACACATGTCAGCCTTACCATTTGTCAAAGCGCTGAGCCTCTTAGCCTTTGGCTGTGCTGGCTCTCTACCACGGTCATCTTGAGTGTGATCGATTCCAGGCCGTTCTCTGGGGACAGAGTCCGTGTCATCTCTAACTGAGGCGATGTCCCTGGTTTTCAGTAGGGGGGAAAAAGCAGGATGATTATCCAGATAGAAGCAAAAGGTTTGGGTATCAAGTCTGGGTGCTGAGTCCAGGAAACATGCTTTAAGGACAATGCACAGGGAAAGGAGATGGATGCATGAGGGACCCAGACCACCAGAATGGGTTATCTTTGGGCCGTGTAGACTCAGAGACCTTTTTAATCCCTCATCTGGATTTCTAATGTTATGGGAAAGATTAACTTGGGAAACATGATGCATATTCATAGACCATTCCTGCACAGCCTGAGCAGGCAGAGTTTCCTCAAGCACTAGCCACGAGTCTTTGTGCACTTGTCCCATCCTTGTCCTGACACTACCATCAGTTAAGTAAGCCCTTTCCCCTGACAACAAAACCTGCAAAATCCTCCATTTGTTTTGTGCCAGTCCTTCTTTACTCCCAGTAGGATGTAGGTGGCCTTCCCTCAACCCCACACTCTAGCCTAAGGGGAGAGAGCTCTGCACGTTTCACTTTCTGAGTTCCTTTTGGGTTTTGGGTCTTTTTTTGCCCATTGAGGTTCCCAGACTCTGAGTGTGTCCTGCCTCCGGAAGGGTAGCCATCTCAAATGCGCATTTCTCTGTGCGTCCCTCCAGAGTGGGTGTTTATTGGCCTGGTGATCCTGGGAATCTTCCTCTTCTTCGTGCTCGTGGGGATCTGCTGGTGCCAATGCTGCCCTCACAGCTGCTGCTGCTATGTCCGCTGCCCATGCTGCCCCGATTCGTGCTGCTGCCCTCAGGCCTGTGAGTAAAGCGCCCAGTGGGGGAGAGGTGGAGTGATTGGAAAAAAAAACAGTCACCTTCTATCCGACAGTTGTGTGCCCCAGGCTCTCCTGCCACTCAAGGAGCTGACCTCCTCTGCGGGGAGCCCCTGGACTCAGGGAGGACCATTCTTGTTCGCCTCCTCACCTGCATGCACATGTCTATGTTTTTGATCCACACCTGTCACCCATGCATTCCGTAGCCTCATCGACTCTCCTGACGATAGATGGTGAGGTTGTAGGGTAAGGCTGTGCCCACTCCTCATTCCCTGGCTCATATCCCTCCCATGCAGAAACACTCTCTCTTGCCCTCGCCACCACCTATTGTAAACACAGCACACATTCTGCAGCCTTTCGCAGCATCCACTGAGAAGCTTCATTTTCATGATGGGATAAGCCACTGAAGGAGCCGGTCCTCATTTAGGGATTCACCGTCTTCCCTTACTGCCTTAGCCCATTCAGGCATGATATCTGCCCTGCCCCCACTCTCCCCATCAATCAAACACATCTTGGAAGAGAGAGAGACAGACGCTATATGTTAACATCATTAGAAGTCGTTTCTACAAGTAAAGGGCAGCTTGCTTTTGAAACCACAGAGGAGACTCCACACACAGGCCCCCTGGTTGCTCTCTTTTTCCAGAAGAGGGTCCAGATCCTCCTGGGGCCAACCCTGAGCAGCCCCCGGAGGAGCCTCCTGCCAAGGGGCGGAGGCAGCCTCCGCTCATGAGATTAGGAGCAGGCTGCCGCTGTCACCTGCAATGCTGCTGCGACAGCTCCCAAACTGCTTAATTGCTCAGAGGCCAGGTACTAAACACTATAATTCCTTCTGCCAGTGCCTTTCAGCAAATCCGGAGGAGTCCAAGGGAGTGGGGGAGGGTGGCTCTGAGGAATCAAGTCGGCCCCTGGCACACACGCGCACACACACACACACGCACACACAGGAACTCCCATAATCACATCCCCAGGGATTTTTGTTATAAGGGTTGTGGAGGGTGGGACAACATAATCTCTCTTGCTCTTCATCTCCCTCCACAGTGTATGAAGCAGGGAAGGCAGCCAAGGCCGGGTACCCTCCCTCAGTCGCCGGTGTGCCCGGCCCTTACTCCATCCCCTCTGTCCCTTTGGGAGGAGCCCCCTCTTCTGGCATGCTGATGGACAAGCCGCATCCACCTCCCCTCGCACCAAGTGACTCCACTGGAGGAAGCCACAGTGGTAATTCGTAGTTGCAGACTGCACTGCCTCATGGTTGTCTTGAGTTCCCACCCTGCTTCTTTGCTGATCGGTATACTCGATTCAGGGGTGCATCTTTGGATAATGGTTATCTTCATCCAGAAATGGGGGAATCCTTCTTAGCTGCATCGTTATATTTTTGAGTGCATACCAGGCTTCCCCTGAACCAAGCTCCCCCCACCCCCACATCCTCAATGACTAAAACTCGATGAAAAACAGCAAGATCCCTTTTCAATGTTGATCATTCAGTTACTAAATATTGTGTCCAGCTAGCGTGCAGTACTAAGTGCCCTGAGGGACAGCAAGAAACGTAGGATGTAGCTTCCCCAAGAAGCAATACAGCTTAGCAGGCCAAGAGAATCAACCTTTATGATGGCAAGCAGGGGCTGTGGGGTCTGCTACTGAAAATTCAAATAAGTGAGGGTTGCAGAAGTCTTCAGGGAAGGGGTGAGATTTGAGCTGGGCCCAGAGAAATGAATCAGACTGAGGAGGTCAGAGAGGAGATGCTGATCAGCCCAGACAGGAAACCCAGAGCTGGGAAAACAGAGTAAATGTCTGACAATGTCCAGATTGTCAGAAGAAGTTGGCAGGATGTAGTGGAGCCAGAGTCGGGAGGGCCTCGAGGCCTTTCCAGAAGAGCTGGTTTTGATGAGAGTCCTGCAGGCAGATGCCAAGGTGAGCTGTAAGTGGGAGAGAATGGATGGAGCCAGAGGCTAGGACCAAGATGTGATTGGTGTGGTTCAAGTGTGGCAGTGTGAGCATCTGGATTCTAGTAGAAACAATGGAGTCCAGATGTATGGGTAAATCTGAGAGATATTCTGAAAGACCCAAGTGAGACATTCACCAAGACAGGCTCCAAGGTGACCCTTCATTGCAGCTCCAGACAGAAATGAAATCATTAAGGAGAGCTGATTTAAGGGGAGGACAGCTTTCATCTGGAGCCTGGTGAATTTGCAGCGATTGTCGGGGGTAAGGAGTACAGGTTTGGGGCAGGTAGTGGAGTGAGTGATTGGTTTCTGAGCCCCTAGATGTGACTGAGCTGGTAGGGTTGCTAACACAGACATCTCTCCCCTGGGAGTAACTGGACTGCCTTCAGTGGGTGGTGAGAAGGGCCCCCAGACCTCTTAAAGAACTGTCTCCACCTGGCAGTGGAAGGAGTGGCTATCCTCTATGAGTAATCAGTATTTATGTTTTTCTCTCGCTGGAACTATTAGTGGAATCCTGACGTCTGAGACTGAGTCACAGACTGAGAAGTGAAAGTTAATGATTAAGAACACAATGGGAACTGGGGTGGCAAAGACTATGTTATCCATATCCCTTGCAGGAGGGAGTGGGCTAAAGAGACGTGAATGGAGCCTGTCTTATACTTGCCACTGATTGCTTTTTTCATCTCCTTTCACCTTCCTTCCCCCTGCAACTCTTTTTTTGCTTGCTTTGTGTTTAGTGGATTCCCCTTGTTTGTGAAAGCACATCCTATCTCCTGCTGGCGGTCATCTTTCCATCCTCCCATATAACTAACTGCAATTATAAGTTCTTTTAAAAATGGGAAAATGTCTTATTACACACAACATGAAATCCCGAGGAAGGATGGTTCCAGAACATGGTTAACTGAACAGATCAGGTGGTATTACTGAGACACCTTACCCATTCCATCTTTGTTCTGTGGCTCCCCTCATACTTCCGGTCTATCTGCTGCAGTTGTCAGTACTTGGATATAAAGGTGTGCTTCAAAAAATATTAAATAGATAAATAAATAGAAAAAATAAACAACAACAAGAACAACAAAAGGTGTGCTTCATTCTTGAGAGTGAGGAAGACTTTTCCAGGAGCTCTTCTCCCATCCAGCACTCCTTCGTGCAGTTTTATTTGCAAGAAATGTGGCCCACTCCTTGCTAAACTAGACTGGCTTGAACCTCATTATGACTCACGTCTTTGGCTTAAATAACTGTTCACCTTGGACATGAACAATTGAGGGTCATGTTAAAGGAAGAGTTGGCAACTGGTGATGCACACAGCTGGCAGGGCCATGGCATTGGCTAACAGAATCAGGACAGGGTTCTTCATGGCTGCTACTGGGCATATTTCTGTACCACGGTCCCACTGACAGTCTTCGTGGTAGGATTTGACTACTCCTCCTTTAAGGAGGAGGGCTTGGGCCAATTTTCCATGCAGATGATTTTCTAAAGAATGCTAAAAAACATTAAGAAATGCTGACGCATAAAAATGTAAATTTAGCCTATTTTATATTTATATGCTACTTCAATTTTAGGGCAATCATCTAGCAACAGTAATTTTTCAGATTACACTGGCACACAATAGTCTTTTGAACACTCTTTGTAGTTGAAAAAGGGCCCCTTAGATGAGCTGTGTATGGTACAGCCAGTTGTGTACTGAATGGGGGAGAGAGAAGAGGCACCCTGAGTTCCCCTCCCCTTCTTCCTAGCCGCTACGTGGAGCCTTCTCCGTGGCAGTGATGGAAGTCTGTCTGCCCCTATACCCTTCAGGATCCTCTGCCTTCAGCTTTGTCAGGGCTCTCTTCCCCTGTATTGAATGGCCACTCTACCCCATTCCCACCTTATACTTTCAGCCTTTCCTTCTGGATGCCTACCTTCCTCTCAACATCCAAACATGCCCTAGCCTTTTTCATTAAAATACAGCAACAATTTACAAAAACACTGCAGTCCTCTGCTGTTGCTTCTTGGTCCCTTTTGTCCTTCTCAAGCAAAATTCTTGGAAGGAGCTTTGAAGAGTCAACATCTGTTTCCTCTGCTCTCACCAACTCCTTAAGTCATTTCCATTCAACCACTGCTTTTGTCCCTCTGCAAACTGGGACTGTCTGGTTGCTAAATCTAACAGATGCTTGCAGTCCTTACCTCGCCTCTTTTCTCAGAAGTGTTTGCCACCCCAATCCACCCATCCTTCTTTGTCTCCATTAACACTTTAGTCTGTAATTTATCCAGGCAGTATCCTGCAGATGCTGCTGTTCTTGTTTTATTTAAGGTCCTCTCCCTGTGAGATCTTATCGAGTGCCATGGCTTCATCCATCATCTATCTGCTGATGATTACTGATCATTTTCTCTCACCTCTCTTCTGTTCTTTAGTCCTGTATATTTTCACTGCCTGTGGAGGTGACTCCTCAAGCCTTTCAGAATCATCAATGCCCAGACAATCAAACTGACCACCTCAAACCAGGTGTCTGTATTCCTCATTTCCAGAAGGCCTCATGGTCTACCTGCTCGTCCAAGCCAGAAGCAGGGACTTCCTCCTCCTCTCTTCCTTCTTCCTCACTTTCGCCATTCAGTTGCTACCAAGTCCTTAAGACTGCACCTAAAAATAGCCTTGCGCTGGCTTACTCTCCTCTCTGTAGCTGCTGCTGTGCTAGTCCTGTTGCCATCACCTCCCACCTTACTGAATGCAATTACCTCTTACCTGGTCTCTCCCCATCGGCTCTTCTCTGCTCGAATTCATTTTATTTCAGTCTCCTTGGCCTCCACTAATCCTTTGTGTGAAAGAATTGAGTAGGCAAGTAGGATTGTGAAATGTCATTTTCAAAATTAATAAGAATGTGTGTCTATATATATGCCTACTGTATGTGTACAGAGGATATGCAAATTTTAAGAATCACATCTCCCACAACTGAGCTGCTGTCACCCTGGGGGTGGGATCTGGCAGCTGTTCCATCATCCATAAACAGCCCTGCTTAGCTCATTAAGACAGGACAGGAAGAATAATGCTTTATCCATGGATATCTGCCTCTGAGATGTCTTTTTGCAAATTTCACAAGTTGAATTTGGGCTGTAAAAAGGGAAATTAGCTGAAAATTAATTTAAATTCTCTATAAAATTTTCTGAAAATATTGTTTGACGTCAAAATGAATATCCCAATATCTACTCTCCAATAAAACCAAAGTTGGCAAGGAAGACAAATAAGAGAAACCGCAGAATGAAGAGCCATACTAGCCAAAGGACTTGGCCCAACCTGCCCCTGAAAAAAATCACAAATCATCCACTGACCCTGTACTGAATAATCCCCAGGGGGAAGAAAAGCCATTGTCCAGATCTGATGGACTTTAGTCAGCAGTCAATTCATTTCTTATTAAAATATCATCACACATAAGACCATTTTCTGATTCTCAGGGAGACTGCAGATAGAGATCAGTCTTACACCATGCTATATGTTTTCGAATAAAAAAAAATGTTTTCATTGACTGCCTACAAATTTCCCTATTCTCCAGGAATTTATAGTCTAGCAGGATGGTTGCGGGGGCTCATGAATGGAAATAAAGTGAGTGAGAAATACAAGGTAGTACATGGGAAACACTTTATAATGTGGGCTCAGGAAGGAGAATTTCATTTTTGGAGAGAAACGATGAACAAAAGTTTTCTGGTATTTGATATGTTCCTAAGTGCATGTATGACACAAGGCCAGATTCTACCAGGACGAAAAGAATATGAGAATACTTCGAAACCTTGATGAGAAAACCTGAGCTGTGGCATAGCTGATTAAACCCTCTACAACACTGGCAAATCCATATGAGCACCATTAGTCTTAGTCCCGGCTGCTCCATTCCTGATCTTGCTCCATGCCAATGTGTTTGGGTAAGCAGTAGAAGATGGCCAACATCCTTGGGCTCCTGCCATCCCCGTTGGAGATCTGGGTGAAGTTCCAAGCTCCTGGCTTCAGCCAGGTTCAGCTCGGCCATTGTGGCCATTTGGGAAGTGAACCAATAGATCTTTGTCTATCTCTTCCTCTCTCTGTGTAACTATGCCTTTCAAATAAATAAAAGAAGCAATTAAAAAAATAAAAACCTTCATGAGAAAATGGGATTAAAAGATAAGCTTATTTTGGTGACAACATTTTGGACAGCCATGAATAGTTTTTTTTTTTTTAAGATTTATTTATTTTTATTGGAAAGGCGGATACACAGAGAGGAGGAGAGACAGAGAGGAAGATCTTCCCTCTGATGGTTCACTCCCCAAGCGACAGCAATGGCTGGAGCTGAGCCAATCCGAAGCCAGGAGCCAGGAGCTCTTCCGGGTCTCCCACGCAGGTGCAGAGTCCCAAAGTTTTGGGCTGTCCTTGACTGCATTGCCAGGCCACAAGCAGGGAGCAGGATGGGTAATGGGGCTGCCAGGATTAGAAACAGCGCCCATATGGGTTACTGGCGTGTTCAAGGTGAGGACTTTAACCACTACACTATCACACCGGGCCCAGCCATGAATAGTTTTTTTATGATGCTGATTCTTCATGGACTTTTTGGAGAGCCCTCATGATTTTGAGTTCTGTACAACTAAGCTTATCATTAACAAAAATTTAAAACATTTTAGGCAGGGGGCATTACCTAGGTTTTCTAGCCATTTAAACCAATGGATGATGCTTCCAACATCTTCACAGTTTAGACACATCAAAACAATTTAGGTTTCTGAAGTTACTCGCTGCTTGGGTGGAGAAGATAAATTGGAAAGATTATAGTACAGTGGAGAGGAATCTCTGATGACAGTACTGAAGGCCAAACTCTCATCTCCATGTGAGGCTGTAGATAGTTAATTATAGTAACTATTAAGATTTTCAGGGATCTCATGACCTGTGCACTTACAGTCAAATCTGTATCATGATGGAGTGTAATTCTCATTAATGGAGGAAAACCTGAGCTCTGGGTCCAAGTTGCCAGTTACAGGATCCTTCAGCAGGTGCTCACAGTCAAGGCCATCTCTCACTACCAGGGGGAAGCTGGTATGCTGTTCCACAGACGGCCAGACTCCGCCTCCCATGACCTCTGAACATTTACCCCAGGATGCTTCACACACTCAAAACATCTAGATAAAGCTTAAGGCTGCAGATGGAGTAATACCTACACACACGCTCATTTTCTTTAACATTAATCATCAATAAAGAAGGCTGAAAAGTTTCCTAAGCCTTGCCTATTTCTCAGGATACCCTTAGAAAGCCTTTCTCTTCCTGATCAAAACATGCCAATGAGTCACCCTCAAGGCCTCATCTGCCATACATTGTAATCCCTTGTAAAACAGTTTGTATCCAAGCATCTCATTCATTCGTTCATGTACACATTTTGTATGTCTACAATGTATCGCTTCTCCACCTTTGGGCTAAGATCAAGTGTAGTATGTCTACAATGTGCCAGGTCCTATGCTAGGTGCTGTAGCTAGGGGGTGAACCAAGAGATCTAGTCTCTTGTCCTTAGGAAGTTCCGGTTTCGGGGGGGGGGAGGGGAATTAACTAGAAATGCTCTTTGCAGGGACCATTAATCCCACCCCCAACCTCAGCCCTGCAACGAGTGAACAAACATCAGGTGCCACCCACAGTCCCAGGCATACAGAAACCTAGAATGATCAGGTATCTTTCCCATCTAGAATCTTGGAGAGGATTAATTATGTAAACAAATAGTTTTTAAAACAAGGATATGGTAAGGACCACAATGAAAGTCCAAACTATGTGATTGGTACTTTTCTTGTTATGAGAGTCAATGACAGCCTTTGTACGAGGCAGCATTTGAGCTGTCTTAGCTGTCCACTCTCCTCTAAGCCACTCAAGTCTGGGAAAGATTCCTTGCATTTTATGGACACAGAACTGAGTCCCGGTAGGAGAGCTTTCCCAGTAAGCCAGCAACATGACGATTCTCCATCAGCCCCCGGCAGATGCAGCAGTTCTGTGGGATAATTGTATTTTAATTGAGCTGTCTGTACTACTCTGTACATGCCTCTGCAGAGATAGAAGAATGAGTAGCTTGATAAATAAGATCTTTTCCGCTAATAACTGCTTCTACATGAGGATGATGGAGCCAACCCCTGGGAGAAGGCGTCACTGGAAAGGGTGTGCTGAGAGATTCATAGTATTCCAAGTAATTCTGCAATTTGAGATGAATGTGGATAACCTGGTATGCTCTCATATAGAGAAATCAGTGCACCTGCCAATCAGAGTGTGGGTGACTGCCCCATCCCCAGAGGTTTGGTTGTGATTCGAGTAATGTGTGATTTTATACTTTAATCTCTCATGTAAGTACCCTGGGGAGGGGGATGTCATCCATGGCCAGGCAGTATGTACAGGGATTGCTGCGGATGCACAGGGAGTCATCTGTTTTCATTATAGTGTTAGCTCCACTTTCAGGAGCGCTGGAGCACAGTTACTCGCTGCCATCCATTAGTCCTTCCTGCCAGTGGACAGGAACATGCTGTGGACCCTACAACCCACCGAGGAGCACTTCTTGCTCTGGCCTTTACTATCTTCCTTATTTAATTCTTCTTCCTACCTCTGCTCTTAGCCCTGGAGAGGCAAGCCGCAGGAATACAGTTGTGTTTCAATCAGACTGCATGGTTCCAACCCCAGGTCTGCCAAATTATTTCTGGGCAAGTCATGAAGACCCTCTGAGCCAAAGTTTCCTCAACCATAAAATGTAACTGATTGCAGTACTTCCTTAGGTGGCTGTGAGGAGCATGTGTCTGTGGAAAGCAGTTGGCATAGTACCTAACACATTTTCAGTGCCCAGTGTTGTCTAATTACCTTTACTGTTCTAGCTCCATCCCATCAATCCCTTCTCTCTTTTCAATTTTTGCTTTCTTTTATCTGTGTGGTTTGCCTGCTGATGTGTGATCACCTTTGGGAATGGATATTTGACACAGGGCTAAATAGCCCTGAAATATGAGCGACATTTATTCTGACAATATGAGGGATGGAGATATAAGAGACAGTATTATCTTGCTTTGATTTATTATTATTATTATTAAGCCTTGAAAATAACACCTGCTTGCAACCACATGGCAGCAGGCTGAATTAATCCTAAAATATGGCATTCCTTTTCCTAAAAGGGAAATGTTGAAGAAATAAAAGGAAGCCATGATTAGAAATCCATGTATTTTGCATCTTGCTTTGTGCTACTCTATATGGTCTAGACTCTAATATTACCTTTTGTACACCACTCAACTGAAGGATTTTTCACACCTTCCAGGAAGCCAGGGGCATTTGGGCCACCTTTGTCATAGGCCCTGATGTTTGGGCATCTATTCTAAACTTCCTTGTGCCCATCCCAAGTGAAGCTGTGAGCCTCACTCTGAAGGATGACATATGTGCTCAATCCAGAATGTGTTTCTAAGAAGATAAGTCCTAGGCGGAGGTCAGAGGACAGGAAACAGAGGTTAACAAGTGATTCAAAACAATATTACAGTTACTGCAAAGTCCTCTCTTTCAATAGCTCCAGCTGATCCAGGGGATGGCAGACAGGGTCCCACAAGTATAAATAGAGATGATTATTTTCAACAAGCAGTATGATTGGGACCTTTCCCAGCTCACTTTCTTGTGCTTTCCTCAACAGTTCGCAAAGGTTATCGGATCCAGGCCGACAAAGAGAGAGACTCGATGAAGGTCCTGTACTACGTGGAGAAGGAGCTGGCTCAGTTTGATCCAGCCAGAAGGATGAGAGGCAGATGTGAGCATGTGGTGGTTCTGTGGGATCTGTGCCTGGTGCGGGGGTTAGCTACTAAGGGGTTTGGGAGTTACTCAACTTGAGCAAAACCAGCAGAAGTGTTGGAGTTGCCACCGAAGAAAGCAGGCGCTAGGGGGTACAAGGGAGAGAGAAGGGTTTCTGGTGCCAAGAGTAGAGCATCTTTCATGTCCTTGGTTTATGTTGTGTCTCTCCAGGGGCAATCAGTGTTGCTGGGGCTATGGAATCCTGTGGTTTGAAATGTTCATGTCAGACAGCCTTTCCCTATTACTCCATTTTAAATATATTCAGGATAATGAATTCAGATGTGAACTCTTAACGATTAGTTTTTTCCAATGTGAAGGGCCCTAGAACTGAACAGTCTAGCTGCTGGGCTGCTCACTGAGGCCTCCATGAAAGTAAAACAGAGTGAATCTGGGAAAGGGGCAATGGCATTCTCCAACAGTAGAGATTGAGGAGTGAGTCAAGAGAATGCTCCTTTTGTCCAAAGAGCTTCTACATGATGACATTTGTAGGTAGCAGGATTCCAACCCTTAAGTTCCCCACAGCCCCTGGCGACCTGGTAGCTGATACTGCCGGTCTCCGGGAGGCAACCTGGGGCAGGTCTAACATAGACTGGGAATTATCAGAGGGTGCCAGCAGGAGTGCTGGGGAGGTAACCAGACTCACTCTGAACCCTCCTCTTCTTGGAAGCAGCAAGAGACTTGATGCAATTGTTGGGGAAACAGTTCCAGACGAGAGCAGCTTTATTCAGATGAAGGACAACATATTCCACCCAGTTTGCAGTTCTGAATTTATACTGTCTGTCCTGCATCCCCTGCCGCATCCTCCCACCTTACTGGCTATAAAAAGACCATCTCCAGATTGGAATGTCAGGAATGCAGATGTCACTGCACTTGACAAGCTAGTTGTAACAATGTTGTCATGGATGCATGGAAAGGGCCAGAGACAGAGAGTCAGGGACCAAGAAGAAGGCTGTACAGGAAATCTAAAAGCTTCACAGCTTGGAGATAAAGTTACTGCAGTTGAAACTCAAAGATGGATTATGGCTTGGGTGACATCTTCCCTCTACCTAAGTTAACCTGCTGTCCAGAGGCGAGCTGGTTGTAAAGTAGTGCAATCTTGGAATCAGAAGGGGCCTTAGAGACTGACCCAGAGGTGGTCAGCCTTCATGAGGAAGAAGCCAGCAGCCTGAGGGATGCTGTGAGAGAATGAGCACCGGAGCCAAAATCTTCACATTCCTCACACATGGAACACTTGAGCCAATCTGGGGGTGGCCCCATGGTGGAGCAGCAGTTCTGTCCAGAAACAAAGTCTTGGGGCTGAAGGCTCTAGCATGCTAGGACTAGAAGGAATCCACTGAGGTTGCTGAATTCCCTCCTCCTTCGTTTTACACTGGAGGAGAGTTGGGCAGGGAGGAAAAGTCGCCAGGGCCAGTACTTAGGCCAGTGCTGGAGCCAGAACTCAGACATCCCGGAAGCTGCAGGTGGATGTGATGATAGTTACATAGAGATGAGGGAGAATTACAGGTCGCTTTACTCAAGGATTCTGATTATGAAGAGCAAAGTAACTCCACCCATGACCACGGAAGTGAAACAATCTTAAAATTTTCATGACAAAATGAATCTCATGGCTGCAGGCCGGAGTAAGAGAGTAACAGATCCTGTAAGCATTGGGAATCTGAGGCCAAGGCTCGTGACGTCGTTAGCAAGTGCCCCTCACTTACCTTGCTTTTCTAAGTAAGGAGTGGCCAATGAGCTGTTTTTCCAGGACAGTGGTCAGCAAACTATCTTCCAGGAAAACATGTTTTACTTCCTGTTTATGTCAGCAAAATGTTATGGAAACACAGCCATAGTAATTTACTCAGTTATTATCAAGAGCTGCTTTCCCTCTACAATGTAGAATTGGAGACTTCCAACATGATGGGCTGCAAAATCTAAAATATTTATGCACTGACTCTTGATAAAACAAAAATTTACCTGTCCCTGACTTAGTATTATATTACTGGTTGTTTCAGGGTACCTGGGGATGTTGATGTTCACGTTCAACCAGGCAGGAATGTTATAACATACAATCCTGAAAATCCTTGAATAGGAATGGTAAAACCAGAAATGAAAAAAAGTCCAGTTTTTCCTGAAGTTTGAGGAGAGTTCTGAAATAACAGTGTTATTTTTTTTCCAGTGGTCTCATTTGAAAGTTCTCTTTGTATGGTTCCCAAGACATTGGAGTTCACAGGGGTCAAAAGAAAGGGAAAGTTCTAAATATTGTTAACAGCATCTGAATTGATTTCATTTAGCATAGGAACAAATTAGTCCATTCTTCTTGGAAGGAAGCAGAAGTTTTAGAAATTATAGTTTATAATTTTAAAAAATCAACTGATTGCATGATTAAGTCGAATGGTTTACATGGCAAACCCTGGGTCCCTGGGGCAACCACCAGGATGCTGATCATACGCCATGGGGAGGAGAGAGTTTGGTGTTCTTTGTGTAAAAATTCTCTGTTGCTCCAGGGATTATTGGGAAGTGGGGTTGAGGGAGGTCGAGAGAAACTGAGACATGCATTGGTGCCCCTCCCATACTGTCTTGGCTTACCTCTCAACAGCCAGCCCCAAACCTGGCAAATATTGTTTTTGATAATATTTTGAAGTTCTAATGAAAAGACTGTGCAGAACAATTGGGTTCAGTTACACTGCAAATAGAATCACCAGATTTCCCTTTTCAGGAAAATGGAATTCAATACATTGCAGAGTTTTGTAAATAAGCAGTTGGGCTTTGTTTTCTCTTCTTGCTTTCTTAGAACCATGAATCTGGTCTTTGCTCTCTACTGCTTTTGCAAAAAGCTGCCTAGATCACTGTAAAAAATGAGAAAGTTGCGACCAGCTCCTCCCTTTACATTTGGGGCTCGGGACCAGAGGACAGGTAGAAGCCCTGGGGCCATCAGTGCAGCCTGCCCTCCATTTCCTCTCATACCTTCACTCTGGCACATAACCCTGAAACATACTCTAGGGAGGGCAAAAGGTCACAGCAGGCACGATAGGTGGACTTGATGCCACCTGGGCAGCACATTCAGGTTCTTGGATGAACATGCTCCAAGAGGGGGGCAAACACTGATGCCGGTGGTGCACTTGCTAAAGGCTCTATGGACTTGCTGTGTAGGAGGGGCACAGCCAAAGGCAGCTGGCCTGTGGAGCTGCTAAAGCCCAGGACAGGACCAGCCCCAGGGGCCCCATCCCCAGGGAAGATTCTCTCTCTCTCTCTCCTTCTGGCCTGGCATAATTGACATCATCATCACAGTCATCACAGAGCTGTAGAGGAAGAAGAAAAACATTGAGCATGGATGACGTTACACTGGGGGGAGGCCAGCTGCAGAGATCCCAAGTTCTGGGAAGCCTGCCTTAGGTAGAACAATAACAATTGTTCTCCTTTTGTGAGAACAGAGCATGCAGCATGCCTCCCCTTCTGTAGGCAAGTAAACTTCCAACTGGAGCCAACTCCTGCCAAGCTAAGAACACAAACACCATTAGTGTAGGCCTACCAGCCTCCCTGGGCAGCACGGAGGCCCCAGAGCTAGAATTTCGTAGAGCTTCTAGTGTCAGCCCTGACCAGGCCTCCCTTCCTGCTGAGTCCATAGAGAGCTCTGTCCTGTCTTCACAGATAACAACACCATCTCGGAACTCAGCTCCCTGCATGAGGAAGACAGCAATTTCCGCCAGTCTTACCATCAGATGCGAAGCAAGCAGTTCCCTGTGTCTGGGGACTTGGAGAGCAACCCTGACTACTGGTCAGGCGTCATGGGAGGCGGCAGTGGGACCAGCCGGGGGCCCTCAGCCCTGGAGTACAAGGAGGACCGAGAGAACTTCAGGCACAGGTGAGGGCTGTGAGCACACAGGAGCCAGAGGCAGGCAGACCCCAGCTTGCTCTGAGCCAGCAGTGTCTCTGTCTGCTGAGGAATTCCTCATTCCAGGCCCTTCGGAATGGGGGGGGCGCCAGATCTGGAAGGGCCCTTGTTAGCTGACCTTTTGTCCTCGGGCATTTTATTCTGCATCATTTTTGATCATTAGTTTTGTGAAAGGCAAAATGCCAAACACTTTATACTACACATTGAATTCTATTGACGCCGCCATTTTAAGTTGGGAGAATGGAAACTTCCAGATGGGAAGGCTGATATGGCCAACAACTGTAAGGAAAGCAGATTTCACACCGTGTGTTGCTAATCTACCACCTTTACCTTTCTCCTGCCAACTACCAGGGACCTCGGCTGTGTGTCCTGCCGCTTGCACCAGTGACACGTGCGGCTGCCAATCAGAGGTCCCCTATGACCAGAAGGCAGTTCAAGGGTGTGTTTTTGGCATGTTTAGACCCTGCAAGAATTTTAACTAACACAACCCCCATTTTGGTCATTCACACAAACCAGTGAGACAGACAACGCTAGCCCTCTCTGGACCTATCTTGGATGTGGCAGGTGCCAAAATGACCGAGCCAGCCAAGCAGCAGGGCCCCCAGAACGTTCCTGGGGCCCTTGCGCGTGCGTGGCTAGGGCTGTGTCTCTGGGTCCCCAGGGATCCCCTCTGTAGGAGCCGGTGGCCTCACCAAGTGCCTTCCTCTTGCCCACAGCCAACAGCGCTCCAAATCAGAGATGCTCTCCCGCAAGAACTTCGCCACGGGGGTGCCGGCCGTGTCCATGGACGAGCTGACGGCCTTCGCCGACTCCTACGGCCAGCGGCCTCGCCGGGCCAACGGCAACAGCCACGAGGCCCGAGGCGGCAGCCGCTTCGAGCGCTCCGAGTCGCGGGCGCACGGGCCTTTCTACCAGGACGGCTCCCTGGAAGAGTACTACGGGCCGCGCAGCCGAAGCCGCAGCCGGGAACCGCTGACCGACGCCGAGCGCGGCTGGTCCTACAGCCCCCCGCGCCGGCGGCCGGCCGAGGACGCGCACCTGCCGCGCCTGGTGAGCCGCACGCCGGGCACGGCGCCCAAGTACGACCACTCGTACCTGAGCAGCGTGCTGGAGCGCCAGTCGCGGCCCGAGGCCGCCAGCCGCGGCGGCAGCCTGGAGACGCCATCCAAGCTGAGCACACGGCTCGGCCCGCGCAGCGCCTCCTACTACGCCTGGTCGCCGCCCTCCACCTACAAGGCGGGCGCGGCGCAGGGCGCGGACGACGACGACGACGACGACGAGGACGACGACGAGGACGACGGGGACGCGCCCGACGACGCGCTGCCGCCCTACAGCGAGCGCGAGCTGAGCCGGGGCCCGTCCTACCGCAGCCGCGACCTGTCCTTCCACAGCAACTCAGAGAAGAGGAGGAAGAAGGACCCCGCCAAGAAAACAGTGAGGCCGCGCCTGGTGCTGCTTCTCCACGTGGGCCGAGCAGGGAGTCGCCGGGCGGCCTTGCTGCCCAGGGCGCGGGGTGGTCGGCTGGGAGGTCACGGGCAGGCAGCCCGCTCGGCCTGCCGCGCGAAGCCCATCTGCGGGGGCCTTTCTGCAGGCTGCCTGCCTTCAGTGCCAACTGAAGCAAGTAGACCTGGGACTCTGGGAAAGGCAGAAGAGGGAAGTGTGAGAACGGTTTACCGAGGGCACTGCATTTCTAATCATCAGCCATAAGGAGCCATCTGCATAGGGGTTCTAAGTGGCACCCCCACCTCAGGCCTTCAGGGGGTGTCCCAATCTGGGTGCAGAATGTTCTCGATGTGCCTGTGTGTGCTATCCTGTGCCCTGCCCCCTTGGCCAGAGGGTCTGTGATTTTTTTTTTCCTACCCATCAGAGAAGTAAGTCTTTGATATCGTTAAGTATTTATTCAGTGTTAAAATTTCCACTTTTTCCTTAAATATTTTTATTTACGTGCATGCAAAATACGCCTATGTATTTTGCTTGATTTTGCTTCATCGGTATACCCTGTCTGATTTCCTCACGTAACTCCCCCTACCATCTTCTCTTTGTTGTCTTCCCTGGACCTTTCTAACGGGAGGAGATTCCCACAGTTGAGACGTTGTGGTTTTGATCAGGTTCCCACAAAGTCTACCTTAACACAGAAGGATGGCAGTCACTGCTATTGACAAGGACACCAGTCACTTCTGGTTTTTTGTCCCTTGGACATTGTTTTGACTGGGTACTGGGAGAGGAAGTCATTGGGTCCCCAACCCAGTTTGTTGTCCCTGTGTGGCCTTGCATGGGCTATACTGATTCCTTCTGCTGAGAGCAGCCACTCCTCTCAGCTATCATGTGTGAGCTGTGGACCTCACAGAAACCTCAGGGACAGCCACAGGTGTCTACGAGAGGGAGGAGGACCAAAGTGCCTCTGAGCCCAATGCTTTGGAGGCCACTCTCCAAGCAAAAGTGCTTCTGGCCTCCTGTCCCCTGAGGTGCTGCCCAACCCTTCCTCCCACCCCCTTTTTTTAAAGACTGCCAACTGGGCATTCTTTCTTGTTCACGCTATAATTGACAAAGCATTTGGGTGATCTGAGGTTCACAGTAAGCCATCCACACTTGCTGTCATGGAGCTGTAAGTGGCATAGTTGTCCTTGGGATGGTGGCAGGTTGCTGTGTGGCTGTAGTGAGTTCTACCAGGACGGATGCTGGCTTCAGCACTAACAGGCATGCGCACGGCTCTCGACAGGTGGCGGACCCTGCCCAGTGAACCGTCTCTTGGGTCAGCTGCTTTCCTCAGCCAGCCCGTGGTTTAACTTTGAGCTCTTTCTGCTCTTCCCCAGAACGACTTTCCAACCAGGATGTCACTTGTGGTCTGATGTTTTCAAGACATCTACTGAATGACTAGGAATCAGATGCAGACGACAGGGACAAGACCTCAGTGCAAGCAGCAGCAGGCCTGGGATCCTCTCTGGCCACCAGCTCGGAAGATTTGCTGATCTCTTCTCTGGCAAAGGATGTCGGGCAGCCTTTGCGGAAGGCTGTTTGTAAACCTCAGAGCCCGGCTAACTAGTTTGAGAAACTTACCAAGAAAACAATGATAAGTGAGAAAATTCACATACAGAGTTTCTCAGTTTATCCTGTGCAGCCTGCTTCCATTACAGATCCTGGACTTCATTTGTAATTCTGCAGAGGAGTTAGCTCTGGACTGCTAATCTCTGAACGTCGCCCATGACTACAGCATACTTTTCTGTATCTCCCATGCTATGCTTAGAGACGGAAGAATTTATGACTGCTGTAGGAAGAAGGCCTTCTGCTGACCAGGAAAGAGAGCTGTCAGGCAGAATACACGTTTTCTCCCTATCACTTCTCAGTCACTAGTTATTGTCATTACACTAAAATCAGAAGATCTTCGATGAGCTCAATGGCAGCAGCCTGCTGGACAATCACAGAAATTACTTCCATTTGGCTGGGACAGAAAGAGAGAGTACACCCTTTGGGGAAAATGTCTAAGTGATATTTCTTTTTCCATTCTGAGAGTATAAACTGCTTTTCCTTTCTGCTCAACACATCAACATCTGAGTCTTGGTCATAAAGGGCTCGCCTCTCCTGCCATCTGGAGGTTGGTGCCGCACAACAGGACCCCACCTCCCTCTGCACTCTGATTAAGTTGTCATCAGGTGCCTTTTGATAAGTGTTTCAAATACACACATGAAAGACAGGAAGGAGTGAGAAGAAGGAAGAGGAAAGCAGGAATGCAAGATAGAAAGGATGAGAAGGGATGTAAGAGAAAAAGAAATCTAATTGCATTATATTTTGCATGTGAGACCTTTCCCGCACAAGCTCCACTCAATCACTGGTAGTTCATTGATTGTGAATTGTTTCTGCCATCCCAGTCCCGGGACACCAGGAATATGGGGCGTGCATCTTTCAGCCCGACTGGGCTGCCACTATAGATGCTTTTTGGAGACAAGGCAGCACTTTCTTAGAGTACTTTCTAATCCTACCCTTGCCTAAAAAAACAGGTTTTACACAAATTCCAAAAGTTGATCCTACTGGATTTTATAATTTGCTTGGATCGAAAAAACTGACCATAAGCTCTCTCTTTGTTTATCATCAAGAGGTATAGTCCCTTTTGCCCCCTCTTAAATCTGGAATTGACCATTTGACTGGATTTAACCAGTGACTCTACAACAAATGTGCCACACAAGTAAAAATTTGATCTTTCTTGCTGTTCTTGAGAAATGTATAGCCACCGTTGAGGGAATGAACCATGACTTACTTGCTGCATAATGAGAGAAAGGGGGCTAGTTGGCCCTACCCCCCTATGTGGCAGCCTACTGGCTCTTAGATGATTTGCAGATACATAAATGAACTCAACTGGACCGTCAAAAGAACTGCCTAGCTGAGCCCAGCCCAAATTGCTGATTCCTACCCAAAGCATGAGAAGTTGGGGCACTCTGTATGCTAATTTCTCTTCAAGGACAAAACTGACTCTTCTAGTCAGAATGTTCAGCCCTGTGTCTTTAAGTGTCTCGTGGCCTCTGCTGTCCTTGATCGACTTTTTCACCCTGCACTGTTATGGTAGGACATGTGATTGAGTCAACTCATTGGAGGAACACAATGATGAGGAGGACTGACCTTGTTCCCTAAGCCAGCAGTGGTCCATTCCCTATCTGTGGATCTAGAGACAACCTCTGAAGACGATTTCTTCTCAAGCATCTCTTTGGTTCTCTCCCGAGCTGCCTACCTGGAGCTGGGACCTACTTTCAGAGTACCATTCCACAAGTATCTTTTGTGCTTAATGGCATTGCCAAGAAAGTCCTATATGTACAATGAAAAAACAAAAAAGCAGCTGAATGAGGGTCAGGAGGATGATCTGGTATCACTGCTTGTTGGACAACTGACTTTCCAAAGGACTTCCCAGTTACCCTGGCCGCTCCCACAGGAACCAGGAGGACAGTTCAGCCCAGGCTTGGCACTGCCAAGGGCTGGAAGACACAAACTCGGTGCTGAGCTTCAGACCTGCTGGTGTCCCTGGCTTCTGAAAGCAAAGGTCTGGTCTGTTTGGGCCCCAGTTTAGAACATCATTTCTTAGTCACCAGCTTTGGATTTCAACTTGCTCAGGCAATTTTGGAGAATATTGTGTAGCTGCCGTAGCTATTATCACTGTGTCAGGCCTCTCACCACCAAAGAGCCCCATAGCAACAGCTGCAGAGACCAAAAAATATTGCTTTTCCTAGCCAGGGGCATGGATGATCTTGGTGAACGTTGAGAACAATGAGAAACAATAAAATTGGAAACCTGCAGTTCTGATGACAGTGAGACTATAGACAGACAATTTAAAAAAGAAAGAAGATGGCTCGCTACTGAAACAACCTTGGGGAGCGGACTTGATCTCTGTAGACTTCTAGTTCTTCAGGGAAGAGAAGAGGAACAACAACAGATATTTCTGGATATGTGGACAGGAGATAAGGCCAAATAGTCAAGACAAAGCTGGCTTCTCCACGTACTTCTTTGTTTTCTTCGCCCTTAAATAGTGTGTCTGCAAAGGAAGTGCACATACACTTATCTTCTTACATTTTGTTGGAATACAAAATAAGTCTTGTATAAGACAGAGTTTTTGTCCAGTGGGGCTGTGTAATTTATATGAGAGATAAGATATTCCTAAAGAAAGAGGATATACTATGAAATAGTGCTATGGGTAAATTACAATAAACCCAGAGATTTAAATGATTTTTTTTTCTATTTTAATGGGAATATTTTGAGATGTTACCGTTGTGTATGTCATTTATCTATACCATTTAAACATCTGCTCAGTGGTCTGCATAACCAAGAAGTGAGTTAGGGCAGGAAGGGGTGAACACGAGGGGCTCAGAGGCCTGTGAATCATAGCTGAGTCAGGGACATGCTGGGGGGAGGAGTGCGAATGCAGGTGACAGGAGGTGTCTCCTGTGGATGAGCTGCTTCCCTAAGCCACACACTGCTTCCCTAAGCCACACACTGGCACTGCCTCGTTAGAGGCTCAGGATGATTGCCGTGTACCTGTAGGCATGCATCAGCTATTCCACCCAAGCGTATTCACAGGGGAGCTTAGCACCCGTTCCCCAGGGACTCAGTTCTGCCATTTTGAGTGCAGCTTCCTGCCTTCCTAATGCAGGGCTGGTCTGCAGACATGGTGGGCTTCTTTCTTCCAACCCCTCACTCTTCATTTTGCAAGGTGGGACTGGGGCACTGTGGTTGGAAAGGGGCTGCCACCCAGAGCCAAGATACAGAGCCCCATCTGATTGTGTTTCTGAATAGTCTGCAGAAGTTCATATGGGCAGTGTGATTTGGTCTTAGGCAGCCTTGGAGAGAAGCTGGAATAACATATTATAATTCACACATGCCCCTCTCTATATAAATTTCTATTGGATGAGAAACCATCATTAGTGAAGACTTCAACCTACTAAATCTTTAGCCTCCGGGTTTATAGATCTTCCCTGCTAGGTCTATGTTTCTCAGAATTGTCTAATGGTAAGAATTAGTGAAATGCTATTGTTAAAAGGGTGTGATTGGTTATTAAGAGTATTTGAATAGGTCTAGAGTCAGGATTTGTACTTTTTGCATGCACTTCAAGAAAGTCTTGCAAATTAGATTCATTTGAGAAACGTGCATCAGGTTGTACCTGTGGTGCGCCTCAAACTGTGGATTCCTGGGGCTTGAATTTTGGAATTTTTTCAAATATGCTAGTGAGGATCCCATTACCCACAAGGGGCTGAGGATCCAGGGGCTTCAGAAGTCTGGCTTTGATGCTGGTAGCTGGCCCACTAGAGTCCAATAGTGGACAAACTGTGTGAGAGGAAGAGTTAAGAGTGTTCCCCCAGGAACCTGTGCTGGATGTTTCTATTCCCAGAACAGTGATGTGTTTTGATACTTACAGATCAGTCAACAAGAATAATAGGTAATTCCCTCATTCCCTTGATGCCATCCTGAGCCAAACTTCTATCATGAATAGAAAGAGAAAGGCCCTTGGGGAAAAAGGCAAATGTAAATCCTGCTGAAGGCATTCAGAGCATCAACTTGGCTTGTTAGCACCACCGCCCCCTGCAGACCCAAAGTGAGATATGCAAGGACAATAAAAGCTATATCCTTCCCAAATCAAATCAGTGTGGTTGTCGGGATCACAGAAGGAGTTTGACATTGACTAATCAAATGTAGAACCAAAATTTACTGAATACTGGTCCAGGTGCTTAAAGTGTTGGAAGAAACGTCCCTAATGTTTTATCTCCTAGGATCCTATCTCCTGGCAACTGGAAAGCTGTTTGAAGGAAGCCGGAGGCAAGGGGCTTTTAACATTAGGATGGAACTAGGGAGCTGAATAGCTGCCTGGGGTGTTAGCACTGCCTGAGGGCAATGGGAGGATTAACACTGATAATATTTGCATTACTTCTGGGTTTACAGAACCACTCCCATCTGAATGATCTCAGCTGACTCCCATATCAACCCTGTGACACAGACAAGGTAGATGTTGTGGTCCCATCACAAAGAATGACTGAGGTGGAAGAAGCTAAGTGATTTTCCCATCAAAAGGCTTTTAAAATCCTAGAACCAGGCCTTGTAACTGTCTAGGGTTTCTACACTACCTTTGGGTTGGGCATCTGGGTGACTATCTTCACAGCCAAATGTCTGGGAGAAAAGTCCTGAGCTCTGTGTTCACTCCTGTGCCAGCAACGGGGTGCAGCTCCGAAGACAGACTCCACGCCTGCTTCCCCGACGAGGCGCCATCCCTCCAGTGCTCGCCTGACAGGGGACCGATGTCATGCAACAAGTGGTGTTTTTCATTAGCGAGGAGGGGCAAGGCCTTGATGGATTCCCACTTCATGTAGAGGCTGTCCTG